GCTAATTTAGTGCTCTGACCCGGCCCTCTGGGCTGTAAAGCTGGTTTGGGATTTTAAGCCCAAGGGAGTTGCTCACAGCTAAAATGGCTGCTGTTCATGAGCTCCCAGGCTGCCCTCACGCCTCCATAGACATACCAGGCTTGATTCAGTGTTCTATTTCCTGTTTGTGGTTATATGGGTCCTCTCCAGCTGCTTTTCTTTGATGATTTGTCCTTATTTTAGTTATAATTTCAGTTTGGTCCTAAAAGATGGTCTGTGTAGCTTCCATTCACTCTGCCATCATTCTTCTTTTCCAATTTAGATTCCTTTTATTTTTTCTTCTTGTCTTATTGCTGTGGCTAAGACCTCCAGTACTATGTTAAATAGTGGTGAAAGTGGACATCCCTGTCTTGTTCCTGTGCTAAAGGGAGATGTTTTTAGTTTTTATCCATTGAGTATGATATTGACTTTAGGTTTGGCATAAATGGCCTTTATTATGTTGAGATATTATCCTTCTATTCCCACTTTGCTGAGAGTTTTTTTATCAAAAATGGGTGCTGGACTGCTGGTGGGAATGCATAATGGTGCAGCCACTATGGAAAACAATATGGGGTTACCTCAAAAAATTAAAAATTGAACTGCCATTTGACCCAGTGATCCCACTTCTAGGAATATACCCTAAGAAGCCTAAAACACCAATCAGAAAGAATATATGTACCCCCATGTTTGTAGCAGCACTATTTACAATCGCTAAGATCTGGAAACAGCCCAAGTGTCCATCAGTAGACGAATGGATAAAAAAGCTATGGTACATATACACAATGGAGTACTACGCAGCTGTAAGAAAGAAAGATCTCTTATCCTTTGAGACTACATGGAGGGACCTGGAAAGGATCATCCTAAGTGAAACATGCCAAACAGAGAAGGACAAGTTTCATATGATCTCACTTATTTGTGGAATATAATGAACATAACAGTCTGAGGAATGGGGTAGTCCCAGAGACGTGGAAGTGGGGTACAGACTGACAATCCCCTGAAGAGGGGGGTGGTGGGGGAGAGATAAACCACAGAACTTATATGCATGTATGCATGAACAGTGGACATGGACAACAAACTGAGGAAACGGCAGGGAGGGAGGGGGAGGGAGGAATCAGTGGGGGAAAAAGGAGAAACATCTGTAACAAAAATTAATTAATAAAAAAAAATGGGTGCTGGATTTTGTCAAATGCTTTTTCAGCGTCTATTGATATAATCATATGATTTTTATCTTTCATTTTGTTTATATGGTGTATCACGTTTATCAATTTACGAGTTATTGTACCAGCCTTGCATCCCTGGGATAAATTCCACTTGGTCGTGGTGTATAATTTCTTTAATACATTGCTGGATTCGATTTGCTAAGATTTTGTTAAAAATTTTGACATCTATGTTCATCAGGGATATTGGCCTGTAATTTGTCTTTTTTGTGTCTTCATTTGGTTTTGGGATTAGGATAATGCTGGCCTCATAAAAAGAGCTTGGAAATCATCCTTCCTCTTGAATTTTTTGGAATAGTTTGAGGAGAATAGGTGATAGTTCTTTGAGTGTTTGGTAAAACTCCGCTGTTTAGCTGTCTGGACCAGGCTGTTAGTTTGCTGGGATTTTGTTGATTGCTTCATTTCTTTAAGTGTTATTGGTCTGTTTAGGTTTTCTGACTCTTCTCAGTTGAGTTTTGGAAAAGTATATGATTCTAAGAATTTGTCTATTTTGCCTAGGTTGTTAAATTTGTTGGCATATAATTGTTCATAGTATTTTCTTACAATCTTTTGTATTTCTGTGGTGTCCATTGTTACTTTGCCTCTTTCTTTCTGATTTTATTAATTTGGGTTCTCTCTCTTTGTTTCTTGGTGAGTCTGGCTAAAGGCTGATCAATCTTGTTTATCTTTTCAAAGAACCCGCAGTTGGTTTTATTGATCGTTTGTATTGTTATTTTAGACTCTATGTCATTTATTTCTGCTTTGATTTTTATTATTTCCTTTCTTCTGCTAACTCTGGGTTTTTCTTTTTGTTCTTTTTCTAAATCTTTATGTTGTTAGGTTAGATAGTTCATTAGAAATTTTTCTTCTTTCTTGAGGTTGGTCTGTATTGCTACAAACTTCCATCTCAGAACTACTTTTGCTGTGTGCCATAGATTTTGTATTGTTGTGTGTTCATTTTCATTAGTTACTGGGAAGTTTTTTATTTCTTTATTGATCTCACTGGTAACCCATTCATTGTTTAAGAACATGCTATAAAAACTCCATCAAAAAAACTACTAGATTTAATAAATCAATTTGGCAAAGTAGTTGAATCAAAATCAACATCAAGAAATCATTGGCATTTTTATATACCAATAATGAACACACTGAAAGAGAAACTGAAAAAATCCCTTATACCATTGCTGCAAAAAATAACAAAGATACATAGGAATAAATTTAACCAAAGAAGTAAAGGACCAGTTCACAGAAAACAACAAGACATTGAAAAAAGAAATAGAGAAAGATATAAAAAAGTGGAAGCATATACATTGTTCATGGAATAGAAGAATTAACATCATTAAAATGTCCATACTACCCAAACCAATCTATAGATTCAATGCAATCCCCATCAAAATACCAACAACATACTTCACAGAACTAGAACAAATACTTCAAAAGTTCATATGGAACCAAAAAAGACCTCGAATAGCCACAGCAATCTTGAAAAAGAAAAACAAAGTAGGAGGGATCACATTACCAGATTTCAGGTCATACTACAAAGCCACTGTAATCAAAACAGCCTGGTACTGGCACAAATCAGGCATATAGACCAGTGGAATAGAACAGAGAACCCAGAAATGGACCCAAGGCAATATACTCAATTAATATTTGAAAAAGGTGGCAAGAGCATACAGTGGAGAAAAGACAGCCTCTTTAATAAATGGTGTTGGGAAAATTGGACAGCTACATGCAAAAAAATGAAACCAGACCATCAACTTACACCATACACAAGAATAAACTCAAAATGAATAAAAGACTTAAATGTGACTCATGAATCCATAAAAATTCTAGAAGAAACTGTAGGCAACAAAATTTCAGACATTATACGCAGCAGAATTTTCACTGATACATCACCTAAGGCAACAGAAACAAAGGAGAAAATGAACACATGGGACTACATCGAACTCAAAAGTTTCTGCACAGCAAAAGATACAATGATCAAAATGGAAAGGCAACCCACTGTATGGGAGAGCATAATTGCCAATGATACATCAGATAAGGGGTTAATTTCCAATATATAGAGAGTGCTCATACAACTCAACAAAAGGAAGACAAAGAATCCAATTAAAAAATGGGCAGAGGAGCCCTGGCCGGTTTGGCTCAGCGGTTAGAGCGTCCGCCTGCGGTCCAGAGAGACCCGGGTTCGGTTCCTGCTAAGGGCACGTACCTTGGTTGCAGTTTGTCCCCAGCCCTGGTTGGTTGTGCGGGTGGCAGCCACTCGATGTGTCCCTTTCACATCGATGTTCCCTCTCTCTCTCTTCCTCTCTCTCCCTCCCACTCTGTCTGTACAAAAAATGGAAAAATGTCCTTGGATGAGGATAAAAAAAAAAAAAAGGGCAGAGGAACTAAATAGACACCTCTCCAAACAGGTCATACAAATGGCCAAGAGATATGAAGAAATGCTGAACATCACTAATCATCAGAGAGATGCAAATTAAAACAACAATGAGATATCACCTCACACCTGTCAAAATGGCCGCCATCAACAAATCATCAAACAACAAGTGTTGGCGAGGGTATGGAGAAAAGGGGACTCTAGTACACTGCTGGTGGGAATGCAGGCTGGTGCAGCCACTATGGCAAACAATATGGGGTTACCTCAAAAAATTAGAAATTGAACTTCCATTTGACCCAGTGATCCCACTTCTAGGAATATACCCTAAGAAGCCTGAAACACCAATCGGAAATAATATATGTACCCCCACATTTGTAGCAGCACTATTTACAATAGCTAAGGTCTGGAAACAGCCCAAATGTCCATCAGTAGACGAATGGGTAAAAAAGCTGTGGTACATATACAAAATGGAGTACTATGCAGCTGTAAGAAAGAAAGATCTCTTATCCTTTGAGATGATATGGAGGGACCTGGAAAGTATCATCCTAAGCGAAACAAGCTAAACAGAGAAAGACAAGTATCATATGATCTCACTATTTGTGGAGTATAAGGAACACAACAGTCTGAGGAATGGGGTAGTCCCAGAGACGCGGAAGGGGGGTACAGACTGACAATCCCCAGAAGAGGGTGTAGTGGGGGAGAGATAAACCACAGAACTTATATGCATGTATGCATGATCAATGGATATGGACAACAAAGATGGGGACAGGGTGGGGAGGGAGAAGAGGGGTGAATCCATGGGGGGAAAAGGAGAAACATCTGTATAACAAAAATAAATTAATTAAATAAAAAAACCAAAACAAAAAAAACCATTAAATATTAAATACAAAGGACTTTTGGGAATAAGTTAAGTGATATCAGATAATAAGTGATGCTTTCATCACATAAGTCCATATCTTTAAACCCATAATTAAGACAACAGAAACTTGAAGTAAATCCTTTTTATCCTAAAATAAAACTTGTCTTTGTATATGCATTATAATTTATAAAGTATTTTAACCACAATCTCATTTAATTTTTAAATAAAGGCCATAGTGAAAGTTTAGAGGAATTTTTATACCCCTTCTGCTGACAAAGAAATAGACACTCAGAGAGGTAAAGACACTCTCCTAAAACCACTGTCTAGAGATTGATAGAACTCTGTGCACTATGCCATGATGCTCTTTAAAGTTCAGTATCATATAGGGAAAGAATTTCATATTCTATGAATGTCAAGTATAAATTTCAAATTCCATGAACTATCATGACTTTGTAATATTATACTATTATTTTTCACTAAGCTGGTTATATAAAGACACTTTTCTAAGTGGGTGACTCTAGACCAGGAGTGTGGGAAGCAGTTGACTCACCTAATCTGCTACGTCTAATCTCTTCTGGTGAGACAGGCCGCAGCTTTCTTTCTGCTTTGATTTCTTCTAGTATTCTTTCATGGAGGCTTCGTGGCCGTGGTGGAGTAGGTTTTAGTTTTCTAGCTGAGGCCTTGAAAAAAAAACATAATGGTTGGAGACTTTGAGTAGTTGTTCTTAAATAATTTTTGCTGAAGGTATTCATATAATACAGTATTATAAAATTATATTTTAATGATTGACATATCGCTTGATAAAAGACTATTTTTAAGTCATTATCAGGATTCTTAAAGCAATAGGGAGATTGCTGAATTTCACAGTGACTTAGTCATATGTGCTCAACTAACTTTAAAGAGACAATTTTGCTAAAGTTAAAATTATGCTCCCTATATGCAAGCATGACAGGCAAGCAATTGAAATGCAATCTATACTTTACCTAATACTACTATTTTTTTTGAAACTAGTATTTTCAAGTCATCACAACCTTCTCAGATTATTATTATCTTCATTCTGTAGTTGAATAAATAAAAGCTGCAGGAAGCTGATTAACTTGCTTAGAGATATATGGCTTATGTAAAACCAGGTTTATTTGACTCCATGCTCTCTTCTCTACCATGACCTGTATTCTTAAAATTATTTCCTAGGTGGCCTCTTTCTCTTCTTTTAAAAAGATTTATAGCCCGGCCAGTGTGGCTCAGTGGTTGAGTGCGTCGCCAGTTTGATTCCCAGTCAAGGCACATGCCCAGGTTGTGGGCCCAATCCTCAGTGGGGGACATGCAGTAGGTAGCCAATCGATATTCTCTCTCATCGATGTTTCCATCTTTCTCTCCCTCTCCCTTCTTCTCTCTCTAAAATCAATTAAGAAAAAAAAATTTGAAAAAAAAAAGATTTATAAAATGGATCATTAAATATGCTTTAGATATACATAAACTAGAACAGAAATACCATTCTCTTTCAGGTTAATGAATGTACACAGGTTTGAGCGGCTCCTGAGCACTGGCTATTGAGACAAGGGGAAAAGAAGTGAGGAAAAAAGGAAACACAAACCAACATTCATTCGATTAAAATATTCTGATTCTATGGTCAGTAGAAAGAATTCTGTTAATAGAGGTAAATAATTAATATAAAAGTACATGTACAGCAGGGTGAATTTACTGCAGAATAGTTTCTATATGACAATTTAATCAAGGAGGTTATTAGCACTGTAAAGTAAACTGGAAGGGCAGGCAATCCACACCAGGAACAATTTAGTATTATATTTAGCCATTATTTTAAGAAGTATTTTACACGACAACCCAGATTTTACACGACAACCCAGGTTGTTCTGAATTAAAACTTCCTAAGATAGCCTTGTATTAAACAAATTTTAAGTACTTTTCTGTGATTTACTTGTAATCTACAGTTGGGAATCATCATTCTGAGAATAAAAGCTCAGTGTAAAAACTACTTTAAGAGCTGAGTTGTAGAGATCACACTCTACGGTTGAATAATTCATTCTGTGAACCCCAATCAAGAAGAATATGTCAAATTACATACTGGATTTAAAGGAGGTCTTGATCTGATGAAGTCCAGAATGATTTCATGAGCACTTTTTTTTAACCGAGGAGGAATATCACCATTCACCTGAAAAAAGACAAAAGTAGAAGATTCATCTGATCACAGCAGCAATTTTCAACCTATGTACTGCAAGAATTTTTTTCTTACTATTAGTTTTTATTTCATATTCATAAACTTAACTCTGAAATCCAGCTAGACTTGGAAAGAGTAAAGAAAATATGGAACCCAACGAACTGCAGCAAGAGCATGAATGTTATAGAATATTACAAGCAGATTGGGGTGAAGGGGTGGCTCTCCTGAGCTACAGAAGGAATGGTCTGGTAGTTAAGATAAAACACAAGTCAAATTTATAAGAGTTGTCCACAGTCAGCAATGATGACCTTTTTGCTGGTCTTGCAATTCCTGGACCCAAAGCTCTCCATGGTTGTCACAAGATCCATGCTGTCTTTCACCTGGCTGAAGACCACGTGCTTGTTATCCAACCACTCAGTCTTGCCAGTGCAGATGAAAAACTGGGAACCATTTGTGTTGGGTCCAGCATTTGCCATGGACAAGATGCCGGGACCTGTGTGCTTCAGGATGAAATTCTCATCATCAAATTTCTCCCTATAGATGGACTTGCCGCCTGTGCCATTATGGCATGCGAAGTCACCACCCTGGCACATAAATCCTGGAATAATTCTGTGAAAGTAGGAACCTTTAAAACCAAATCCTTTCTCCCCAGTGCTGAGAACACGAAAGTTTTCTGCTGTCTTTGGAACTTTGTCCGCAAACAGCTCGAAGGTGACACGGCCCAAGGGATCGCCATCCACAGCGATGTCAAAGTATATGGTGGGGTTCACCATGGCTAGGCTCGAGTGGTTGCAGTACGATGGTGTCTGCAAGGCCTGCTGCAAGAATTTTTAAAATATGCAATACCTGACCAGTGTGAATACCCTGTCTTGAACTGTGGGAGACTGTTTGCATGGCATCATTTTGCAAAAATCTGCTCTGCCATCTCCTGCCCCAAGGCAGGATATCTCTGCATCTCTGCATACAATGTTTCTGCATTCCTTTAAGTAACCATTTACTCAGCCAGTTATGCTCTGTTTGTCTTTTGTTCCACCTGTGATATTTACATGATATTTACTTGAAATTGCTTCGGGGTGGTTACCACAAACATCGCTTGGCAACAAATGTTCTTGTTTTTCTGCTTCTTGCCCTATATATTCTGTGGATATTCCCAGAATAAACTAGACTTGATCAGAGCCCTGTCTTGTCTCTATTTCTCGTGTCTCTTGTCCCTCCTCATCCTCACTCCCCCTCTAGAGTCCTCGTTGCTCGACCTGCGGGACGGGTCATTGAACCATAAATATAAAGGTCATATAACACAGTTGCATCTTATTGGTCATGTCACATAATAAGGTTGCATCTGATTGGTTAAGTCATGGTATTAGAATCCTTACTTACAAGTATAGGCACCTGACTTTTCAAAAAGTCACTTTGGAGAAAGAAGGGTAGGTAATTAATACTACTTTTTGTAAATCAATAGAAATGATAGCTTTTTTTGTCAGATTGGCAAAAAAATATACTTTTGGATGTGCTGCAGAATTTTAGTAATTAGTTTGTGTGTGTCATAAGATGAAAAAAGTTGAAAATCACTGGATTATAGAATTATCATGATAAGTTTCTGTGTACTCAACATATGTCACAAAATCACTGAAGTAATCTATACTGTAGTTATGTAATCTGGTACACCAAGGACACATTTCAAATAATTAAAATGGAGAGTAAGAAGCCATATGATTTAGAGTAAAAATAACCACTGTAGAGCTGAAGAAAATCCAGGTTCATTTTAGTTCTTTCATTTTGGAAAATTATATATAACATATATCACTTCCAACGAAAAGTTTCTAAAATTATAAATGTGAATGGAATAAATAATACTATGTTTATTAATTAGTTTATAATTTTAAAAACCTTTTACCTCTTATTTTCATCCTTGTACAAAACCTAGGTAATAGGAAGGACTAGTGACCTCATTAACATTCTGTAGATAAAACTCAGGCTTAGAGCAAAGAGGGTATCACCTACATTCACAGAACCAGTAAGTAGAAGAGTTTTTGTGGAGTCTCAGTTTGTCTGATACCTGCTCTTATGTTCTCTGTTTTTAAAGCAATGTGTTACAAATATATATATTTTTAAAGAAATTTAAGAAAACCCGAAACTGACAAAAGTATAACAACCTAAACCCTTATTCTGACCACTCAGAAGGCACAGTTGTGACCATTTTGTCATTTATTTCCTAATCTCATATAAAAACCTATAATATTTTTATCCTCTATTTTGGTGATCTACTCTTTGATTACCATAATATTCTAATAATTTTATAAATGTCATTGGAGAAATAAAAAAGATAATCCGGTTATTCCTCTAGCATCAATGGTTGATTTTATTTTGATAGATTAGACATGTTTCTTTATGCTTCACAATTTGTTTTTGGAAATGTCATGTAAAATTTTAGAATTGTTATAAAATTTGATAAAACCTTTTAAAAGTATTTTCTTATCTTAATTTTAAGATTTCTTATGTACTCGCCAATCTTAAATACTATTTTATTTTTTTAAATCCTCACTTGAGGATATTTTTCCATTTATCTTCAACTGGAGTGGGAAGGAGTGGGAGAGGAGGGAGGAGGGAGAGAGAGGAGGGAGGGAGGGAGGGAGGGAGGGAGAGAGAGAGAGAGAGAGAGAGAGAGAGAGAGGAATAGAGAGAGACATCACTCTGACCAGGGCCGGGGACCAAACTGCAACTGAGGTACATGCCCTTGACCAGAATCAAACCCGAGAGTCTTTGGTCCACAGGCTGATGCTCTAACTGCTGAGCCAAACCGGCCCGGACTTAAATACTATTTTAATTGTTCATAGCCAGTATTCAGTTGGTCATTAATTATAAGTTTTGATTTTTTCTCAATGTCATTATTTTTGTGTCAAGAAATAAGAGAGAGAGAGAGAGAGGTAGAGAGAGAGAACCTGAACTGTTGTTCCCAGGGTCAATCCCCTCACCAAATGAGGTCACCCTATTTGAGTAGAGGGTGTCTGACAAGTCTGCTGGGGCCTATATACATCTACTCCTTTCTTTTTCCCTGTCTTCCTCTTTCCAGCTGCTTGAGCCCAGCCAAGTTTGTGACTGCTAGCACTTTGTTTAAGGAGGCCATGCAACCAGCATCAGAACTGGAGCCTTCTGTGGCACCACCCCTACCTGTGGATTTCATGTTACATAAAATATTAAAAATCTTTATTGTATGAAACAATTTAATCAGATTTTTCTATTACTTTCTATTCTACTCCTGGACAGAATAATATATATCCTTCTAGCTGTTTTTCATATGCTTTTATTTTAATATTCTTCCACCAAAAGAGACAGGATGAGAGAATGGACTAAAATAATGCCAAGGTTCTAAGGTCCATTCCCCAAACAAGCTCATTAATTTCAGTTTTTTCACTAGTCAGAAACTGTATCCTGAATCCCAATTACAAAATGTGTGCCAGTGCTCATGAGGGAGATGGCATAACAGTATGGATGTGAATCAGTGACAGTCCTTATAAGTAGAAGAAAAAATAACTGTGCAAATACCATTAAACTACTGCTGGGTAAAATTACATTCTTTCATATACATACGAAACACAACCTGAAACAAGCTCTCTGAGTTGCAATGATAAATGATTTTTGTAGGAATACAAGTAATAGACCCAGAAGTAAATAAGATCAGTTGCAGAATTTGATCTTATTTTTGAGCCACATGCCTAAAAAAAATGACTTCTAAATAAGAGATGTTAGTTAAGTTTCTATATCTTTGGTTTTAAAGGTGAGTAAAGTTATTTGTTAGAATTAAAGCATTTTACTCAGACATTTTGAAAAAGTCAACTGAAATGTTTATCATATCTATAACTCAATATTCTGAATAATATCCAGTATGGCTAAGCCATTCAATTCCCACTATTAGCACCTCAAATACACAGAAAAAAGTGGATTACTATGATATAGTTATGTAGTTCACACCTGAGGATTAAATTAAAAACATCCCAACAAAGTGCTTCAGGTACAGTTGAATCATGTGTGAAAATCTTTTGCATTTATTTATTTTTAAAAAAATCTTTATTGTTGAGAGTATTACAGATGTCTCCTTTTTTTCTTTATAAAAATATTTGTTTTCAGAACAATTAGAAAGCGGCATTATATTGATAGGAGCAAAAAATTTTTTTTAAAAACTTGGCTTTTGAATAATTAAATGTGAGTAGCTTCAGTTTTCACTCTTATTTATCAGGTACACATGTATAAAATAAGAAACTAATAAATCTTAGCCTGTTAGTCACTTGAAACTGATCACCACTAGAACCTCCACATGCCCAGCCCCCTTGCACAGGTGCTCAGTACTCTTACTCAAGAGAACCGCAGAGCATTAGCCAGAGAAAGACAGAAAAAGGAAAATAACAATAGCTACCAAGAAGCAGAAACATTTATCCATTTTTTTTCCACTTCCTACCCCACAACTTCCAAACTAAGAAAAAAAATATATTTATACCTAAATATACCAGGTTAAAGTGGCAAGCAGATGCATCACTCATAATTATCAAAAAGGACACATTTAGAAAACCACCTATCATTCTGAAACTCTCAGAGCCCTTAATGAACAAAAGGTTTAAATAACTTGATCCTTGAAAAAGCAACTTATTTTTTTTTCTATTTTTGTCTTAAGTAAAGCAGACCCATTAATGATGACAGAAGCCCACAACCAAAATGTACAAAGCCAATATACAGTTTAGTGATTAATACCGTGCACCTAAACAAAATTTCCCTCTACCTTTATTCAGGTGTAACTGTCAAACAAAAATTATATATATTTAAGGTGTACTCTCTTAGCAAATTTCAAGTGTGTATTAGACAGTGTTATTAACTATAGTTAGATCCCCATAACTTACTCATATTATAAATGAAAGTTTGTACTCTGAGCAATATCTCCCAATTCCCTACCTCACAGTGGTATCATACAGTATTTGTCTTTCTTTTTTAAAGAATATTTTTCT